GCCTTGGTAGTAGCATTTCATTTTAGATGTTGCATCAATCTTTCATATAATACATTATTATTTGTCGAAGAAAATAATTATTTATTCAATGTTATATTTCTAAAGCGATGATACATGCTAGAACTCGAGAAAAAGAGTGGAAACACAAATGATAGGTATATTTCCTCGGGAAATTTCTTTCTTTCTTTTTTTTTTTTTTTGGGGACAAGTTGGGAAATTTGAGTGAGCTTTGGGTGAAGGTCTCCGAGAAATTTGATCAAGAACTAATTTCGGTGAAGGTGTGGTGGCAATATCCCTTCTCTGCTTACCGTTCTTTGTGAAAGTTCTCAGAAGTCACCCTGGAGCCAACTTTTTGTAAATCTTTAAAAGTTGCCTTTGCTTTTATTTATTATAAGGAAAAATGATATAAAAAAATATAAATTATAATATTTTAATTAAGACATCTAAGAGGTCAAAATCTCAAGAGAGAAAGCAATACCTGATTTGATATCGGAAAAATAACAAATAAAGAAGGTTAAATATATGATATATTAATTTGGAAAGCTAAGGATTTCAAAGGATAGAAAGGAAAGTCCTTTTCAAACTGGAATTTTGAAATTCATTAAAATAACAAAAATGCCTTTTGTCTCTTCCCCCCCCCAAAAAAAGAGACTCAACCCCTCATCGATGACTGGCCACTGCCTACGACCATTCGCCGGCAGTCGGCCACCACCCGCAGGTGTCGGCACTGGCCACTAATGTGGTGGCCGCTGATAGAATTTTTTTTGTCACAGATTTTTTGTTGGCCATGTGAGAATATTTCAAAAAAGTGGTGGGAGTAGGATTTAATCCCACTATCCCTTGGTCATTTGGGCCAACAAAAAAATTGATGACCTTTGTGTCACCAAAAATTTATTAACTTTATAATGAAAACAAAAATATAAATTGACTCTTTTACTATGGCTCTAGTCCATAACAACAATTTATTTGGAGATGATAAGTCTTAATCAAAAAATAAAAAGTCTAAATTTGATATTAACAAAGTAACTTTTCTGATATATAACAGGAAATAACATGTACATTGATTAAAATGATAATAATTTATTTAGAAATGACATGTCTTGATTGAAAAATAACAAGTCTAAAATTGATATTAACAATATGTTTTTTTCTGATATATAACAGGAAGTAACAGGTGTATTAATTAAAAATAATAACAATTTATTTGGGAATAATAAGTCTTAATTATGAAACGATATGTCTTGATTGCTTGATCAGTTCTGATATACCTTAGAGCTTCCTTCACAGGTGCAGGGGATAATTGAAGAGAAGAGTGCTGATCAGAGCACCAATAATCATGAATCAGTTGAAATAAAATTCTTTGTTAAAACTCCTATAGTCCTGTTCCAGTTTTGGGCGTGAGAGGGCGTGGAGTATGTCCAGCGGGTGCATCAGGATATGGAAATTATATTCAACAAATGGAACGGTGTTACAGTCTCAGCCTAATTCAGTGGAAATCAAAGGAGGCTGCTCCTGTGACAACAGTAATGACAAAAAAGTGGTCCCTAGGAAGTCCAAGGATTTTCTCTTCCCAAGCCCACCAACCGTGACACGGAAGAATATAACACGTGGCTTCAAAGATTTTATCCTCGTGTTGCGCTGCTTGTCTTTTATTAGTTTGATGAGTTTTATGAAGATTCAGTCCTTGTAAAATCCAGGTGGAAATGCACAGATTGGGGACATTAAATTGTTAATTTTCTTAAAAAATAAAACGAAAATACAAAAATATCCCTGACAACTACAAAAAGTCTTCTTCCGTCCATCATCCCAAAGTATTCATGTGCTTTTTTGGCTCTCTCTCTCTCTCTCTACGACCAGCTCACGCAGAGAAACTTTGCTTTTGTCTTTTACTTCTTATTTTCCAAACAGAGCATTTGTACTTTGGTGACTCCATTCACAGCAAGCATCATATAGCAACAATGTTTACTTTAAAAAAAAAAAATTCAAATTTTGTACAAGTACTATCATTTGTGCATTAATGAAACGCAGCCTATCCTTTCAGATTCTAAGTGCTAATTCTACATGCGTTCTTGGCTCTCCATCTCCTAATTTCAGGTTTATGGCATTTTTTGAATAATCACATAAATAAAAAACAAGAAATAAAACGAAAGCACTCCATTTGAAATTAGGGGATCCTCAACTTCAGAGTATCTCTCTGCCTATGCATTGTAATATAACGAAATGGGGCAGAACAAGATGTGAGAGGCAAAACAGAGTATAGAGTCTCCCAAAAAGTAAAACGATTCTGTTTCTTTTTTTATTTTTTTATTTCATTCGGAAAAGTTACAACAATACATTTTCCCGAAGTCTCACATTTGACTACTCCCTATGTCTCGAAAGTAAGTCCTAGTTTTTAGAATTGTTTTGGTGCCAAGTCTCATTACAAAGTTCTGGATGTAATTAAAACATAACACGTCTTATGAAAGACCCCATTTACCTATCTTGTCTAGCAAGATGGCCTATGTTAGCAGTTGGCCTTCAACACATCTTTACCCAACGCATAGTGATCAATATGAAAAGTACAAAATTGATAATAAACCAAAGCATCAACTGATTCATGTTGCAATCAAGCAAGAAATCTAAGGGCCTGTTTGGATACTCCAAAACTGTGGTTTCAGAAGCATTTTTTCGCAAAACGAGATAACCTCCTCTACATATTTACTTCGTAATCCGTAAAAGCACTTCTGAAACCATGGTTTGGTTTCTATCCAAACACTCCCTAAATCAAGTTCGTATATATAAAGCTCTAATAATGGGATATTCAAGTTACCTCATAATAAGAATTGATCTTTTCATTCCTTCGCACGTCTAACCATCCCTCTGTGATAAAACTCCCACCGAAATTACTTTCCCTTATTCTTTCGCTTTCCTTGGGGATCAAATTCTTTTTCAAGTTCCGTTTTGGAATCAATGAAACTCCGCCCGATTCAAATGGGCTGAGTTAGTCAACATATTCCAGATTTTCATGTCAAAGGACATCAAAGAAAGATTTAATTAACTTCAGAGAGGCTCCTCTTTTGAAATATAATGTTGCGTTTGATTCCTTTGATTTTAGAACTACTCTGTCTCTCCCACACTGAGAAAGTGGTGAAGCTCGTTACAAATGTCATCAATGTTTATATAACAGGGCTCTCCATATTTTTTTCAAGTGTTGAAATTGTTAAAAAATTGTTGTAAATGTGATTAATAAAGTGGCGAGACTTATTACAAGTGTTGTTAATACACTACATGTTGAAAATGTAATCAATTATTTTGATCGAGACTTCTTGCCTGGATAGTTATCTTCGATTACCGGTTCTTAATATTAGAATTAATTTGACCTTTAATTTGGTCATAAATATAAAATCTCAATCTATTTTATTTCTCATGTTTATTTATTTATTTAAGTAGTTATTGTAATAGTTGCACATGTTAAAAGTTTTATTAAATATTAAAGCTAACAAATTTGATTAGCAATGCTATTTTAGAAAAATAACACTTATTTATTATAAATAACTAACTTAACAAATTTTCTTAATCTACTCAAATTAGTTAATTAATTTTTATATTAAAATCGGATGAAGTATTTGATTTTCTAATATTACAACAAATGGGTTTGGGTGGCTCATTGGTCACAAAACATCTTCAGAACTAAATCCCACATGAACTATTTTGGCAACCAAAAAACAGTTGTTGCCGACACTCGTCGCCAGTGGCCATCACTGCTCTAGAGCTGTTAGTGACGAGGTGGGCCATCGTCACTGAGAATTTTAAAATTACTACATATGTTAAGTATGGGAGTATTAACATTCAAGCGAAAAAACAACCCCTCCAAAAAGAGTCACATCCCCATTTATGACTTATGAGGCTTCTCTGCAGCAGCCATGTGTGCTGGCACTTTACCTTTGCTTTTTCCGTATCGCCTGTCGGTATTCAATAATTTGCCCCATAATAATGCATATCAGCAATTATTTTTGCCCTCCACCAAAAGACAACCAATCAACAGTAATTCTTATCAATTTAAAAAGTGTTAAATCAAATTATGATTTAAAAAATAATTTTACAGCATATAAAATAATATATAAAAAATTTTATTTCGAGTTATGTAAAAATATTTTTTAAAAATGTTTTAGAATTTCAAACATTCCCTTGGACCGTGTTTGGTATGCTGAAAATCTAGCTCCAAAAAAAAAAAACCCAAAATTCTCCAGAGGCTTAGTGCATTTGATTCGACAATCTTTTAGGAAGTAATTTGCCGGCGGCTCCTCCCTGTTTTGAAATAAATTGTTGCGTTTGATTCCTCTCAAGTTGCGCAATCCGTACCTTATTCCTCTGCGTTTGTTACTCTCAGTCACGTCCTCCTCTACACGCAATTGACTTGCTTTTTGGTTTATGAAGAGGAGAGGAAATGAGGACTAATAATAAACGTAATTAAAAATTGTCAAAACTTGCGGTTTTGAAATGTTAAAACTCTAATGCCTACTAGCTCTGGCTTTCACTTTAAATTTTTTGATAATATATGTATTTTTTTCAAGAAAATAAGTATTTGTTCAATCTTATATTTCTAAAGGCCAAGACTAAACATGTAGAGAGGTGTAATTATAGTGCTTTATTAAACCAAATTTCATTAGGAAATTTGACCGCGGGCGTTTATATTTTCTTGGAAAATTTGATTTTCTTTTTCTTTTTGGACCATTCCTTAGAAAATTTGATTAAACTTTCTACAATTCGGAGGAAGTGTCAGCGGAGTTTCCTTTCTCTCTGTAATATTTTCTCTCTGTAGGACCGCCTTTCTTTGAAATTTATGATTATTTATTGTTCATTTTGTTCCATTTTCATTGACTTGGTTGACTCAATCTACTACACTAAAATCTTATATATGTTCCTCTAAGGCGAGTTTGTTTCCTATTACCAATCGTTCTTAGATCTGAACTGAAAGCACTCCCAATTCTCTCTTGCTTATCGTAATTAAGCAATTTGATATGGCTTCATCTTCTTCCTCTGTTCCATCTTCTCAATTTCCAAGGAAATATGATGCTTTTATTAGTTTCAGAGGTGAGGACACCCGCTCCAACTTCACAAGCCACCTTCATGAAGCTCTTCTCAGAAACCAAATAGATACATACATCGACAGCAGACTTGAGAAGGGAGATGAGGTATGGCCGTCTCTTGAGAAAGCCATTGAAGATTCAACTCTGTTTCTAGTGGTCTTCTCAGAAAACTATGCATCTTCCACCTGGTGCTTGAAGGAGCTTGCAAAACTATTAGAGTGTTCTGAAAATGAAGGTCACCTTGTTATGCCATTGTTCTATAGAGTAGACCCTTCTGATGTAAGGAAGCAGTCTGGGAGTTACGAGAAAGCATTTGAAGAACATGAGCGCAAAAGAAACATCAATAAGCAACAACTGCAAAAGTGGAGGGAGGCTCTCACTCATGCTGCCAATTTATCTGGCTGGCATTGCAGCTTCGACAGGTAACTCTATACATGTTGATGATCTTTCTCTTATCCTATTATTCCATATGCATAAGGCTAAATTAAATCAATATAATCTTTCAGCATATGATGGAAGTTAATGATCATAGAGAGGATGTTCTCTTGTGTACACTGTTGTTTGACCTGTCCACTAGGCCATCAAGCCATAAAATATTATATATTTTCTTAAGAAAACTATTAATTAGAACAAATTTTATAAATGGGCAAATCTTTAAAGTTGCATTGCATTGGGAATATTTCAAAATTTTGAATAAATACTGCTGTATATTAAATTTGCCCATCTTTATTTTTCCAATGGTATGTAGGGACGAAGCCAAGCTGATTACAGAAATAGTGGAATGTGTTATACAGAAGTTGGGTTATAAGTATCAAAGTGAAGATGATCTGAAAGACTTGATTGGAATTCATAGAAGAATTGCATATGTGGAATCGTTGTTGTATAAAGGTTTAAACGACGATGTCCGATTTATTGGCATTTGGGGTATGGGCGGTATGGGCAAAACAACTCTTGCAGAAGCATTATTTAACAAATTGCATTTTGCATATGAAGGGTTTTGCTTTTTGGCTAATGTAAGGGAAGAATCAAAGCTATATGGAATAGCTGCTTTGAAGAAAAAACTTATTTTGACATTATTAGGGAATAAGGAATCTCACATTGGCATGTTTGATGCAACATCTCCTAACGTCATGAGAAAACTACTTGGTCGGAAAAAGACTTTCATTGTTCTTGATGATGTTGATGATTGTGAACAATTAAAAAATTTAGCCGGAAGGCATAATTGGTTTGGGCCGGGCAGTAAAATCTTGATAACAACAAGAGATAAGCAAGTTCTTGATGCTAGTAAGGAAGTAGATGGTATGTATGTGCTTGAGGCTTTGAATCCTGATGAAGCTTTCGATCTATTCTCCATTAATGCCTTTAGAAATGACTATGCTGACCCGAAAATAAAAAGGCTGGCAAAAGAAGTGACTCAATATGCAGATGGAAATCCATTGGCCCTAAAGGTTTTAGGCTCACTCTTGAATGGCAAAAATCAAGAAGCGTGGGAGAGCCAATTGAACAAACTTCAAAAGTTTCCTTGTCCAAAAATTAATAATATCCTCAAATTGAGTTTTGAAGGACTTGATAAGGAAGAAAGAAATATTTTCTTGCATACTGCATGTTTCTTCGATTTCTTCCATCATTATGATGTCAAGGATGTTGAAAAAATGTTAAATGCATGTGGTTACTCAACAGAGATTGGATTGATAAGACTTGAAGAGAAAGCTCTTTTAGATATTCATAAAAGAAGAATACGTATGCACCATCTAATAAAAGAAATGGGTAGAGGAATTGTTCGAGACGAATCATTAGAGGGTGCTCCTCAAAAGTGCAATATATTATGGATTTCCAAGAACAATTCTGGAATATTGAAGGACAGCATGGTAAGAGTGAAATTTCTACATTTCCATATTCCTATTTGATTTATACAATATTTTTATTACTATTATTATATTTTGTTTGCTAGGGAAATGAAGCCACTGAAGGCATGATTCTGAACCTTTCAGAAGTTGAAGAGATGCACGTAATTATTGAAGCTTTTTGTTCAGTGCCCAATCTAAAGTTTCTTGAGTTTTATGGAAATATCAATGGCCGTTTTGAGAACGCGTTAACATTTCCTCGTGGTATGAAGTTTTTGCCAAAAAATCTCATGCTATTGGATTGGGTGGGATGCCCTTTACAGTCCTTGCCGACAACATTTAAGGGTGAAAATCTTGTTGAAATAAAATTGCCCAACAGCAATTTGACAAAACTTTGGAATGGAGAGCAGGTACATTTTATACCTTTTTTCCCTATAAAATATTACTAATACACTAGTTGAAAATTTTTTATTATATATGCACCCTCGCTTCAGTATTATTTATAAATGTTTACCTTTTTCCTTAAAATCTCTTAGGAAATTGAATAAAAGATTGACAACCCGTTTTGGAAAATGCATTTCCCTTTCACCATCACACCAATATTTATATAGATTACTGGTTAAGTGTAATTTTAAAAAAATTGTAATATTTTTTGGCATTGCTAATTTTGTAAATAAAATTGCTAACAAGGTCTTATTAAAAAAAAAAAAGATAAGAGAGAGTAATTATTTTCATTTTGCCGCCAATCTTACTGTGTAATTATTTATTTATTATTATTATTTTACAGAATCTTGTGAATTTAAGCAGAATTGATCTTCGTGAATCAAAAGACTTGATTGAGCTCCCAAATTTTTCCAAGGCCATACGTCTTGCAGAAGTTTATCTTCAGGGTTGTTCAAAATTACAAAATGTTCATCCATCTATTTTATCTCTCCATAGCCTTCGCCGTTTACTGCTAAGAGATTGCAAAGCCCTTAAGAGTCTTACGAGCAACACCCATCTCAAATCACTGAGTAAACTGGACTTGACAGGATGCTCAGGACTATGCGAATTTTCAGTGACCTCAGAAAATAATCGGTTTGAATTGATGCTTTGCGGAACAGCCATCAATGATGAGTTGTGCTCATCAAGCGGATGTCTCAGCAAAATTTATTTTTTGAACCTAAAAAGTTGCGAAGGTGTGACAAGTCTTCACAAGTTGGTTGACCCGCATACCCTTCGACTCCTTCATGCTGATTATTGTAATAAGCTAGCATCAAATCTACGTTCCCTATTTGATGAGATGCCTCGTGCTTTGGGAATTCTACGGCTGAATAATTGTAGTGAATTGTTTGAAGTGCCTGACAACATTAGCTTCTTGTCGTCGTTAGGGCAGTTAGATCTCTCAAGGACTAATATAGAGACCTTGCCTTTAAGCATCAAACATCTTTCAAGCCTGCAACGTCTTATCTTAAATGGATGCAAAAGGCTTCGGTCTCTACCACAACTCCCTCCCTCTATCCATACACTGAGCGCCGACGAATGCCTGTCCCTTGAGACCTTACATTCACCTTTAATGAGTGAAGATAGAGAAGGAAAACAGTATTATTGTGATTACTTCATTTTCGGAAATTGCATGAAGTTGGATGGGCAGTCAATCAAAGCCGTTGAGGCCGAAGTTCTACTTGACATAAACAATAACAAAGCCATTGATAACAGGGCTACAATGAAGTATCCGGGAAAAAGAGTTGCAGAGTGGTTCATGTATAGGACTACACAATCTTGTGTGACTGTGGATCTCAATTCCATTCCACAACCTTGGGATGGCGCTTTCATTTTCAGCGCCGTAATTTCTGGATCATCATTGTCGACTACAATTCATGCCAATTTGTTTATTGATGGTCAATCTGCTTGCACGTTTGAAAGCGCCTATTTCTCTGGGTTTCTATTGTCAGATCATGTTGTTCTTTGGCACGATGAAAAGTCATGTGGAGAGGTACAAAGGACAATTGAAGAAAAGAAAAGAGAAGCTCAAAGCAACACTTCTTATCATCCATTATTGCTTCAAATTGAATTCGCAGCCTTTTCGCCTTTTCATGATGAAACAATAGTAGAGATCAAAGAGTGTGGGGTGTGCCCAACATCTGCAGTTGAATATCAAAATTACATCAAACAAATTCAATTGGCATTATTGCATCCACATCGTAGCTCCAATGCAACGCAATCGGCCTCTCGAAAGCGCAAACATCACAGCTCGGATGAATTTCAAGAAATGATTTTGAATTTTAAAGCTCTCAGGTTGAATAATGATCTGCCCACTTCAACTTCATGTTTCACCCTCGCGCCTCCACCCCAAAATGGTATGCTCTGGTTTTAACTACTAGTGATAGACTTGCTTTTTGTTAAAAAAAAAAAAAAATTGTACACTCTGATTACCGCATCATCATGTTGTACCATTGGCATACATACAATTAATTTAATATTTTTGAAGAATTGGATTCAGCTAGTGGACATTAAGCTGATTATTTCTTACTTCTAATATTTCATAATCACGGTATATTAACTGAGCAGATTGAGAAGGAAAAAGATTTATGCACATTAAGGAAGCCATTGAAGGAGCTTGCAAATATAAAGATCAAGTTCAGCAGCGTACGCAAGTGAAGAAGCTGTCTTTGGGCCAAAAAAAAAGTGAAGAAGCAGTCTGGGAATATAATCACTAAAAACATTTGGAGAATATGAGATGGACAAGAAACAACAGGTTCGATCTTTGAACATTAATATCCTCTTATCTCTTCTTTTTCAATGCTTATCACTGATGGCTGCATCATTTTCATTTCATTTATATATATTCATAAGGCTGCATCCATTGAAGTCGTAAACTCATAATGAGCAGCCTAAAAAGTTTGATCTGGTACGAGTCATCCGATCATCTTGCTCTGAAAAAAAAATTTACAGAGTTTTGAAAATATTTGCGAATCCTCAAAGTTGCATTTAATTAAGAATATCCAAAAATCTTACCGTCTGTGCTATATGAAAAAATTAGCATGGTGCATGTCATCCAAATTAAATGAATGAAATTCTGATAAAGAACGAAATTTAAAAGCAACAATGAAACACTACGAGAAACTAGCATACAAAAGTTAGAAGGGAATTAAGACAAATGAACAAATTAAAAGATAAAATTAAGACAGTGGTAACAGTTTCAACTATACTGCGGCTGTCATAGATAATGTTATTGTAATAAGATAGATATTTAGATGTGTTGTGTAAAATTATTAATAATAATAATAATATGGAAGAACTCCTTTAAAAAAAAAAAGAATGTTGGTATAAATTTTTTTACACATTCCTTTGATGTTTAGTACTATGGAGCATCGAGTCAGATTTGATTGTTATTGAACTCATTTGTGATAAATAACATATATATATATATATAAAGATAGTTTAATTTAAACTCTTTAAATTCTACCCATATGCTAGATCACATCCCACCCCTAACACATGAGCTTGCGTCAGGCAATTTGATTGAGGTTAACATTTGATAGCTGGGATTGAATATTGGACGGTAAAAATTTAATATTAATAGATTTTTTTTTTTTTGAAACTCTTTATTCTAAAACATGCAAAACCTAAAATTTGAAATAAAAATAATTTCTAACTGTCGTTTTTTAAAAAGAAAAAAGAAAAATTTATTATTAAAAATTTTAAATCAAACCCTGGACGTCTTGGACAAATCTGTTCTCTAGTCCACTTGCTTCAAAGTCCCCAACGAAAGGGAATCTTCGTAGCCATTTTGATTGTGATTCGTTTTCTGTTATAGAATGAGCTAACCTTATAAAACCAGTTCAATAGATTGGAGGCCATCTCCCAAAGTGTCTTTTGCCACCAGCGTCGATGGTTCGCTGGTGGCCGGCGCCGGTGAAGTCGGCTTCTTTGAGACCTGGTTTGTCTCCCCCGGCTCCGTCGGCTGGCACTGTCGGTTGGTAAAGTAGCTTCCTCTTAGTGCTGGATTATTTTTATTAGTCTCGGAGTTCTTAATTTAATCAAGGTTGTTAGTTTAGTTTGCATAAGTTCCTGACGCATTTAGCTTCATGTCTAAGAATGAACTTATTAATACTGAAGCAGAGCCTAATCAAATGAGGAATGAATCATTTGAGCCTCTGATCGCGGTTATAATTAATAGGGACAATGATCGTGAAGAACATGAAGCCAGTGAAAGCGAACAGGATTCTGACTCGCCCATTATATGTCACCTCATACGCATGGTGTCAGGGCCGTGGCTGTGTCAGTACAAATTTGTTGAGGTTTGTCCTTTCCACGTAATTTCTTTGGAGCCAATTTATATATCCCAAGTTAAGCATGTCAATGAAATCTTATATGCTGTTGGTTTCAATTTCATCCACCGATTCTGTTCATTTGTTCTGTGATCATTTTTGACAGATCCCTTGCCGGCTAAGCAGAGTAGAAGGGCTCATTGTTTCAAAATGAATCAGCAATGCTTATAGTCCACTCCTTCTCATAATTTTCTTTCTCTCTGCTTTCTGTTTTCTATTCGGTGCTGTCTTTTCCATTCAGCATTAGATGAACCAAAAGAGTTGTCTTGACGGCAATATGTGAAAAGCATTCATACATCTTGATTTCCTTTGCATAACTCTGTCATTGAGGATTTTCTTGGCACAAAGGGCCTTTAATCTTGGCTTACGGTTTAAGCGAGTCTCTTTCTATAAGTACTCTGTTAATAACTATTCTTGTGCCTCTACTTCTGCTCTCCCTTCTTCGCAGCGTCCACAAAAAGAGAGAACTTTATCTTTTACTTCTGATTTTCCAAACAGAGTATTCGTTCTTTGGCCACTCTATTCACAACACACGTCACATTCTATTCTACATGTGGATCCTCATGCGTATGCACCATAATATAACGAACTTAATGGGACAGAGCAAGGAGTGAGAGACTAGCTGAACCTGAAAAGCTACCTTGCATTTTCAAAATTATTCCCTCACTTCAATTTCATTTAATCCTTCAAACAAACAACTAAAGTCGAAAACAGTACATTTACTTTGGGCTACAACATTACATAAAAAGGATTTTTGAAGATAACATGATGAAATAAAATTTAATATATACTACCTCCGGTCGTAATTATAAGAGCCAGTTGACTAATCTGAGGAGATTAAGGAAGTAAGTTGAGTTAGTTATTTATCCTGAATAAGTGTTGTCTTTCCTAAATTATCCTTGCTAATCAAATGTATTGACTATAACCCTTAGTATTAGAAGGGCTACTTTGAAAAGAAATGCATAAATATAAGAGACAAAGTGGATTGGGGTCTTATATTTAGGACCAAAATAAAAGTCAAACAGGGTCTTATATTAAGGACCGGAGGTAGTAATTTGGTTGATTCTGATTTTATTTAGATCTATGTGGCAAATTTAATCCAAATATATGCTGAATAGGATGACGTCATTAATTACTAACACTGATTCTCTTAAAATTGACAAATTGTAGAGGCCAATACTTATAATTGAAAAAAAAATGTAAATTTACTAAAATCTGATTAAAAATCAAGTGAAATTCTAAAGATTTATGAATTAATCTTCCATAAATCTTAATCACAAAGTATTCAGATGTGAGACTCATAATTGCTGGGGGAAAACAGAGAGACTCGTAATTGGGAAAATATCAATTGGAATGTTTTTTTTTTTTTTACGGTGTTCAAATTGAGGACATAAAAGAAAGTTTTAATTAATACTCTTCCGATCCTTTATATATAATCTATTTAACTAATTTTTTAAATTAAAAAAATTAAATAAGTTAGATAATTATAAGAAATATAACATGTCTTTTTTAAAGTATTATAATTATTTTTCTTAATATCCTTCTTCCTTCTCCTATTTAATTATAGTTGATGGAGTACTTATAAAGATAATTTAAGAATAATTGATAAATGATAAATATAAGAAATAAACTATATGTTTAGAACTAAATTCAACTGAACAATTAAATCTTATACTAACGATCAAAGAGTAACTTGAAAGAGGCCCATCCTTTTTTCTAAATGGTGGGTTCCATTCCATGAAGGTTCGCAGTCATAATTCCGTTGACTTGGCTGCCTGAATCACCCCCAAGACCACCTTAATTATCCTCCCCGATAATATAAAGCCCCCTAGGCCCTGTTTGTTTCCTCTTGCAAATAATTCTTAGATCTGAATTAAAAAGAGTCCTTGCTGTTTTACAACTGCCATTAATCTTTTTCTATTTTTCCTTTTTATCCTTCATTAAATATAGGTATATGTTATTTAATTTTTAAATCATGCATATTTCATGGTGCCAAAGTTGAAAATTTATTTAATTTTAAATAGAATTAATGAGTTTTAAGATTTTATTTAGTTTGTTGAAAAAACATATTAAAAGTAATTTATAAATAAAAATAAAGAGTTAATATAATTTTTGGTCATTTAAGTTTGTTTTTATTTCAGTATTGGTCTCTTGAGTTTCAAACCATAGGTTTTAGCCCCTCAAGTTTCTTTTCATTTAAAACATTAGTTTCTATAATTTAATAAAAATATGAATCATTTATTTCTTGAGGGATTAAAATTAAAATGAAGACAAATTTAAGAGACCAAAAATTATATTAACCTAAAATAAAATAGTACTCAATCGTTAATTTATTTAGATATTGTTAACCTTCTATTAACTAAAGTCACTCTTCACTATTAACCTATAATTTTCTTTGAAAATTCTTCACATGACCTTGAAGAACCTGGATTCGTGCCTACTTATATCTCTCCTATTTTTGCTGCGTGACTAATTTCAACTTTCAAGAGTAGAATATTATTTATAATTGGCCATCATGCACTTATTAAATATGAATCATTTCTATTTTTTTATTAACTAAGCTTTGGGTGAAGGCCTTTAAGAAATTTGAGAGAAAGTCGCAAGGTCATTTCCTAAGTACGCATTAAAACCCGGAAGTCACACGGAAACGGGTAAAAGTTGGCTTTGCTTTTAGTTGTCTCATTCGTTGTAGAGAACAAAGACTCACAAATACATTACTTTGGGCATTAGAATTCAAAATAAGCAAATACAGCATATAAAGAAGTGCTAATTATGAGCCAAAAAAATAAAATAAAACAGATAAAATATACATACATTTATAAAAAGTTATCTTTTGCATGTTTTGGAAAACAATAATAAAAATGCGGATTTACTTTGTACAATACCCTCATCATAATAAGAACCAACCACATTGATTGTCGATGATTCAGAAGATTCAATTTAATATTTTTTTATGTTTGGATAATTTTTTGTTTTAATATATACAAAATTTAAAATAAAAATGATTTTACAACTGTCACTTCTTAAAAAAATAAATTTATTATAAAAATTAGAGATTAAAAATATTGGCACTGGAATAAGTTACGGCAAAAAAATAAAAAATAACAAATCTTTTTTTTTTCCGCCAGAAAAAATCCAGTTAGTTGTTGGGAGCCTCCCAATTAACTGACTCGTTGAAGCACGCCAAACTTTTTGGAAGTTACCTTGTGATTTCCAGAACTCAAAATTAATTATGTAAACACCCCGCAATAATATAATACAATAATTGTTAGGGAAATGATAATTAAGTCCAAAAGATCCATAAATACAATGCATGACAGCTCAGATGTTAAAATTTTTTTAAAAAAATAAATTATAAACACTACAAAAAAAACACGGAATTTAGCGATAGAATTTTGAATTTAGCGACGGAATTAGCAACGAATTTTCCGTCGCTAATTACCGACGGAATTTTTTCGTCGCCAACTTTTTAAAAAATAAAATAAAATGCCACGTGGCACCTCTATCAATTGTTACGTCATCACTGGGATCACTTCCACATGTCATTGCCACTTCACATCTACTGCCACGTGTGCGCCACATGTCACCACCACATAATTCTCTTCTCAAAGTGACTTCTCCATGGCTTGAACCCAGGACCTCCTCTGTGCGCACGTGCGGCTTTACCAGTTAAGCTGTAATGAACCTATTAATTTATTATATAAAATTAAATATATATTATATTACTTTACACAAACAATTATATATACATATATATTATTAAAAACTAAAAATATACTATATGATAATTTTAATCATAACTATTTTAATGAAAAAATAATTTTTAAATATTTGTGTTACTATTTTTATAATGTTTTATTTTTTAAAAAATATTTTTAATATGATTTTAATTTCTAACGACACTAATTTTGAATTTTACATCATAAATATTTTTTCATAAATATTTTTTAAATTTATTTTTTAATTAACATTGATAAGATATACAATTTAGTTATATATATATAATATTATATTATATTATATATATGTGGTTTATATATTTGAAAAAAATCATTTACAATTAGTCAAAAAATCTTGTTATTCAAAAAATTCAAAAAATAACTACTATAATAAAATCTAATAAATTATTCTATATAAAAAATTAAATAATTTAAATAGATTATGATAAACAATATTTTCTTACTTGTATATATATCCTATGTAATTTATTTTCTTAAAATTTGCGACGGAAACAAATTCCGTCGCTAATTTCTGATGGAATTGCAACGAAATTTCCATCGTTAATTTTTTTGATGGATTAGTGACGGAATTGTCTGACAGCTAGATACAGATTAGCGATGGAATTTAGCGACGGATGGAAATTCCGTCGCTAATTTGCGACGAAATTTTGAATAAACCTTTCAGTATTTCCAATTCATTTTTTAGCAATTTCTTTGAGAAATTAGCTGCCTTTAAATGATCGGTATTTTGGCATCTCACTGTTTTTACCCATAATTATTCCCCCCCCCCCGGGTAATTTCCATTTGTCATCATTTGTATACACATGCATATAAATTTATTAGATACTCCTCTTGTATCAAGAATTGTATAATTCGTAGATTTTGAAAATGCAAAAAATACTTAGAAACTTATTAAATCGAAGCAAAAATGACATGGTTACAGTCCTACAACCATCACTTTTGCAATGAGACCCATGATAATGTTTCAAAATTGCTAAAATATCCCCAATTTAAAAAAAAGGTCGAATGCGTAAAAATAACCCTAAACTTTTAACCAAAGTACTAAAATGCTCCAAATGTCAGTTTATAAAAATCAGTCGAAATAAAAATCAATGTAATCGACCTTAATCCAAACAAAATCATATATTTAAATTGTGATAGAACTGAAAAGCCAAAAAAAACCATAAACTAATTAAGTTTTGTGTTTCCTTGTAGTATGGGTATTTAAGAGAAACGATCAATATAATTAAAAAGAATATTTGATTGTGACCATAAAAGAAAGTTTTAATTTCTCTTTTTTTTTTTACACACAAAGAAGAAAAAGGGAAAGTTTTAATTAAGTTCAGAGTGCAGAGCAGCTGGAGGGCCATCCCCGTTTTGAAATGGATCGCGCTCCGTTCCATGAAGTTTCGCAGTCATTGTTCATCATTTTCCA